AAAAAAAGAATTCAAAAGAAATGGGAAAATTAGGAATTTAGTATATTGAAAGGGAAAGCGTTTTTACAGTAGTTTAGGTCATTAGATCTCCCTCTACTCACTAGAGATGAAAATAGTACTAAAGAGAAGGTGACAGGACCTTTTATTCTATTATTATGTGCTATACTAGAAACAAATGCTAAAATTACAGAAACTTTTTTCTCCATCATTTATTTTTCCATTCTGATTTGTCACAAATCAAAAACTTGCTCCTATAAAAAATAAGTGCAGATGTATGGAATCTGAGGTGGTTTCTTCATATATTCATTCGTTTATTCATTTCTTGATGCCCCTAACGTGCCCCTCACTGTGGTAGGCAGAGAGCACAGGAATAAAGCAGAATCCAGGAAGAGCGGGTGGAAGCGTAATGCAGATCCACACAAAGACACATGGGGTGATGGGTCACCGAGGAGGGTGTGCACGCACTGGGCCTAGGGGATCCTGCCGGAGACTATATTTGAGTACTCTTGGTGGCTTATCTTGAGTTAGGTCAGGGCAGAGGGCGGGAAAGAATCTGGAGAGTGATTAGCAATTTGGAAAAGAGCAATATTAAGAAACGACAAGGGTGAACCTGAATCTGCCACCGTGAGTTTTATAAAGAGAACCGTTTTTGACACAGATGACTTGGGGAACAGTGTGAAACACAGCCAGATAGAAAAGCAACACTCCTGCTCCTGAAGCATGTGAGCACCTGGCCGGAGAAACAATGAGGTGGGTTAATGAGTTATTAATAAGGTCAGAAGAATGAGAATTCATAACCAATCAGGGCGAGTTATAAAAGGAGGAGGGAAAATTACAATGAGTTCTAGGTTTGGGGCTGAGTAACTAGATGCTGGGGGGCGGGGGCGGGTGGTGGTGGCTGGCTAACAGAGAACAAAGGGAGAAGATTTACATTTGAATATAAACTGAGCATGGAAGTATCTGAGAATTTTATGATATCATTACATCTACTTATTATGCTGGAAAACCCTACTAGTTGGAAAGATTAATGGTGGTTCCCGAGGTGTCCAATACATAAACTTAGAGTGGTTTCCCCACTTGCGCTTTTCTGCTGGCAGTCAATTTACAATGGGTCACTACTAGTTGCCATTTATTGTTTCATGAGGATAAATCATGGAAACATTCCATTTTCAAATTAACATCAGTGAAGTCATTTTCCAAAAGTCCCTCAGAGAGTCTCTGAGAAAACAAAATTCAATTTTCCTTTCTGGATATATTTTCTGCTGAATCTAACTGAAGTGAAGTGGCTTTATTGGTG